CCAGCCGCCAGCACGCCCGCACGAGAGTGGTCCGCGACGGAATGAACGTCGTCACCTGACACTAACGACACACTTCATGGGAGCTGGTGCTTAAGTGGCGTGGGGATGAAGTGGCACGGGGGAAACGTAAATAAAGGGCCCTTTGCAAAGGGCAGACTGAGGGACAGAGAGACCAGCAGACAGCAGACGCAGACACTGGGTTAAGACATTGGGTTAATACATACAGTATTTTGTGTTATCCTGAAAAGACTCCAGTGAGAAAGGAGTTAACCTTACTTCCCAGATGAGGACATAGCTCATCAAGGAAATGGACTTACTTGCTCAAGATCCCGCGGCAAAGAAGTCAGTAGAAATGAACCAAACCCAACCAGACTCACTGCCATCGAATGGATTCTGACTCATAGCGACCCGCCGTTGGGCTTCTGAGGCTGTCAATCTTCACAGAACCGGACTCCCTCATCCTTCTTCCACGAAGCAGCTGGTGGGTTCCAACCACTGACCTTCTGGTTAGTGTGTAAATGCCTTAACCACTACACCACCAGAGCTCTGTAGGCAGTAAAGAGCTTAATGCTGATGATAAAATGCCTTAATGCTGATGATAAAACCCAAGTATATGTGGACTACCTAATCCAAAAGAGCTTAACTACCATCCACATGCAGTGCTACGAGTACACACGTATGTATATAAATATGTATGTGTGTATGTATGTATGCAAATATGGACAGCCACCCACACCGATTCATCGTTAAAGAACGTCTACTACAACCTGTTATGTGCACAGCTCTCTGGGGACGGAGTGGTAAACAAAAGGATACTGGGTAATCCACAAACATGTAAACACATGCAGGAGAGACCAGCTGATGACAAGAGCTGTGAAGACGACGAAAACGGAGAAGCAGGCCAGAGAGTGAGGAACGGGGCGGGGAAGGCCTCTGCCGAGGCAGTGCTGAGCAGAGCCCGGCCAAGCATTTCGGGAAGAGGAACAGCATGCGTGAGTGGGAGGTGCTGGGCATGCTCACCAACCAGGCAGCGGCCAATGTGGCTGCCGTGGACCGAGCCTGGGGAGGAGGCGTGGCAGGATGTGAGGTCCGAGAGGGGGTGGGGACCCAGCGGCGGAGAGCCCAGCGCTTCCAGAATACCGACAACTACAGCAAAGAGGTTTGGCCGGATGAACTCCATTGAGAAGGGCAGCAGCTGTGGCGAGGGCTGAGGAAGGGCATTTTCAGTGCCACCTGCCACCAGCCCAGAACGCGTCCCACCTGCACACGTCACAGGACGCCTGTCCGGAGGAAGGGTGCACGGGGCCACATTGCCTGCATTCAGAAACTAACCGCAGCACTGCAGACTGTACAGCCTTGTTCAAGTTGATACTTTGTATGAAAGTCAAATTTGAGATGTTAGCAGAGCAACAGCACTGAGAAGCCACTGTCCGTGTCGGGACATGTTCCCGCCTTTGACAAAGCTCCTGGTTCCTCCCCTTCTGAGCACAGTGCCGCAAGGTCTGGAAACCACGGGCAGCAGCCTGCTGACTCCCGACTTGGGGCAGACTCGGGGCTTATGCACTTTTTGGAATTTAATAAAATTACTCCATTTAAAATATGAAATTAGTCCAAGGTACTGGATTGGTTTGTTTTCTGTTACTCCATCATCAATAGCATCACTATAAAAAGGGAGTATCCCAAGTGTTCATTCATTCATCCATTGACTCACTCATTCAACAGATACTGAGTCCGCACCTAGCACACAGCAGAGTCTCTGGGTGGTGGACGGGGCTAACACACTCGCCTGCTGCCTGACAGGCTGGGGGTTCGAGTCCATGCACAGGCACCTCACAGGAAAGGCCTGACAACCTGCCTCCAAGAAATCAGCCCGAGAGAACCCGAACCCGGGGGAGGCCGCTTTCCCTGCGGGCTGACTCCACGGCGCCTGGAAACTGGAAATGCGGCAGAACGACTCCAGATGTCACGCCAGGTGTCGGAGGGCAGCGGTGGACTTAGGACAGAAAACTGCCGTCCCGGGGGGACCCACGCAGTCAGTGAGTGAAGCAAGGGGATACGGCGGCTGCTCGTGGATACCGAAGAGGGGCAACGAGAGCAGGGCGGCACAGAGACAGCTGGGGGAGCAAAAGCACTGCTCGGCCAGGGCCTCGCGAGAAGGCACCGCGTGAACGGACGACTGAAGAAGGCGGGGAGGCGGCCACGTGGGGGCGGGGCGGGAAGGCATCTCCTGCAGCCTGAGGAACGGCGCGAAGCTGCGGTGCCCGGAGCAGAAAGGGCCGCGGCGGAAGGGAAGGGGAGGCCACGGGGCAGCCACCGAGGCCGGTGGCGGCACAGGCCCGCTGGGCCCTGGGGAGCGTTCTTCTCTCAGCGGCAAGAGAAGAGGGCCGCCCCCAGCGGAGCGTTTGACAAGTGACGGACATGTTCTGTGTGGCCCACTGTGGTAGCCAGTGGGACCCGACTGTGGCTGGCGCAGCCGTGGCACCGGATTTCTATTTCATTTTAATGACGTTTCAGTTCCAGTCCCTTGTGGCTCGTGGTTACTGTCTTGCATCGTACAGCCTCAGAGGGCTCAAGGGAGCGGGGCAAAGACTCACATTCCAAGGACAGTCACTGGGGCTGACACCCTGAGAATGGAGGACGAGCGCAGCAATGGGAGAGCCACTCAAACAGCTGCTGCCACGCGTCACGTGCGGGAGGACGGTGGCTCGGACCAAGGTGCTGCCAGAGGTCACGGCGAGAGTGGTCTAAGGCCGGGCACGGCCGCGTTGTGGCAGGGTGGGTGAGAACTGCTGAAGGCGCGATGTGGGGCGTCGGGGAGAGGAGCCAAGGACGAAGCAACGTTTATGGCTGGGCAGGGGCAGGAACGCAGCTGCCGCTTACTGGGCCGGCGGAGCTGGTCTAGGAGGAAGCCAGGAGCTCAGGCGAGACGTGTCGAGGGTGAGGGGGCTGTGGGACAGCCAATGGAGAAGGCCGGCCGGCAAGCAGAGGGGTGCCCAGGTCTGGAGATAGGGGGCAGATGTGGACTGGAGACCATAGAGCTATCAGCTGACGGCATTTCTAAGCCATGAAACTGTTGAGACTGTCTACAGAGTGAACGAGATGAAGAAGCAAGACAGTCCAGGACTGAATGCCACTGGCTAATCAACACTAAGGAAGCTGACAGGGCCCAGAACCTCCCTTCAGACTGATGGTGCAGTGACTCAGGGAGAGTTTGCACGGTAGCAGACCACTGTGTGTGTGCGCGTGTGTGTGTGCGCGTGTGTTCAGTGATTCGGCACCAGGAATTAAAGTGCTGGCAAGGAGAGAAGACACGCGTTCCTCAGAGGGTCCCGCCACCGCCTGTCAATCTAACGGGATATCAAAAAGGGTAAGTGGACTAGCTACCAGGGACACTTTTCTCACACGACCACTGCTGTGAGGGCACCGTCCTTGAGCTGTATTCTGATAGCAACGCGAAATCATTAAAACCTAAACAGGGTGTAGAACACGTGTGGCTTAATGTAATTAAAGCAAACTCGAGTCACACTTGCTGAACTGTGACCTGTTATCAATAAATGCTACTGTCCTGACTGTAGGTAACTAAGCTGATAAACCCAGGTCACATACCACGAGAGAGAGAATAAGGACAGGCCCACAGAGGGGCAAGGGGACCAGCTACTCGGCCTCCACTCTTGGTGCAGACCAGAAACCCCCTGCCAAGGAGTCCCCTCCAACTCATTGAGACCCCCATGTGACACCACGTGACAGAGGAGAACTTCCCCAAAGGATTTCCTAGGCTGTCCTCTTTCTGGCAGCAGACTGCCATATCTTCCTGCATTGCAGTGGCTGGTGGGTTGGAACTGCCGACCTATCAGTTAGCAGCCACACACTTAAGCACTGTGCCATGGGGGCTCCTACACACAGTGTGATAGTACACAAGGTTTACTTCACCTCTGTAAGTGCCAGTTTCCTGAGTGTACACGGGAGAAAGCTTCAGGACCAACCTCACCAGAGATGCTCAGAAGGGAACTGACACGACCCACGTTACCGCACTCAGCATGGCGTCTGGCACGAGAGAGACGGTCCACGTACGCCACGGTGTTATTGTTACCGTAAGACACCCAGTGCGGACTGTTCTCAAAGACATTGGGTGACAACTCCCACCTTCAACACAAAAGTGATACTTTACTATCTAAACTCAATTGGATACCTACAATTCCAGGTCACGAGACAAAACGCTGGCCTGGCCATGCTCTGGAAGTTCTTCCCTGACTGATAGAGTCACTTCCACCAGAATAATTCTTACAGTGTCCTGTTTACATCTAACCAAGCCCAAACTCTGCCACACAGAGATTTAATAAACACATTTAATGGGATACAAAATATGAAGATATACAAGTAAAAAACATCAGCAGTCCATACACAGTGACCTACCTCATGGCTAAATTTCTAGAATACGAAAAACTCTACAGAAAGTGCAAATAAAATGTGATACCCACAAAACATCCAATGCTGGTCTTACTTGCACTTTATACTGTATTATAAATATCCTGATTTAAGATGGAAATCATTCTGACGAATGACCACACAGAAAATTATGGAAGAAAGTCTTTTTGGTAATAATTTTTTTTAAATTTAAAAGAAGTAGTACTTTTCCACAAAAAAAACAGTGATGGTATTATCAATGGTGCATCAGACACGTTAAGAATGACAGAACTTAACTACAGAGGAAGCGTGGACTCTGAAAAGGGCCACTTACGATACCTAACGTCCGTCACCTAAAAATTGCCTCACGATATTTGAATTGTCTCACGTATCATCCTAAATTTACCATCCCTTCCACTGGAGCTACTTTAAGAAGTTCAGGTCTTTGAAACCATACTAAACAAGCAGCACTCAGGATGTCAAGCAGTAACTACCTTAAATCATGATTTCTAACTATTCTCCAATGTGTCGTCCTTTTCTAACTGCTGTCATGCTGTGGCTGTGAGTACCATTTACCTGTAGGTTTGCTCACCCACCTGTGAGACACTGCTCCCCAAGCGCCGTGCTTATTGGTGAGAATGTTGAGAATCTTCTGCTTCAGCTGATTGGCCGTCACGTGGTCGCGGTGTTTGGCGGCGCTGATGAGATGGTCACACATCTTCTCCTCCTCTCTCCGATCAGCGGCGTACTGGGCACACTGTGACTATAAGGAAACACAGATGATGCACACCCATCAACCTTCCTCTCGTCTGTGACTTAGAAAGGGGCTCTCGCTCGAAGGTCAAGGGCAACAATCCAAACTTAAAAATTCAGAAGTGTAACCTTTTGGTGGCCGACTCTAAAGTTTGCAGGTAGCCCCTTGCAAAGTGGTAGAAATATGTGCTTACAACATGTGTATACACAAAGAATGTGTCAAAGACTTTGGATGATATTAAAGTGACAACTGCCAAGGTTCTGTCCAATTCTGTGCTTCTGATTGTATCGGACTCTGAAAACATGCTTTTATACTCTATGTGAAGTAAGCCAGACACAAAAGGAGAAATATCGTAGGGTCTCATTCACATCAACTGTCTAGAACAGGCAAACGCATGGGCAGACAGGAGGTGAGTGGTTACCAGGGGTCGGGGAGGGAACACTGGGGCTAGTGCTTCATGGGCACAGAGCTGCTATTTGAGGGGATGAACAAGTTTTGGAAATAAACATGGTGATGGCTGCAATGTGTATATTTATACATAACATTTATATATCATATTGGTATATATGGGAGCTCTGGTAGCATAGTGGCTAAGACACTTGCCTGCTAACCAGATGGCTGGCGGTTCAAACCCACCAGCCCCTCCTCGGAAGGAAGGTTGGGCAATCCACTTCCGTAGTGATACCACCTCGGAAACCCAAGGAGGGGTCGCTATGAGTCGGGTTTGACTCAACGGCACATAACAACAACAACAACGTTGCTATGTATAGTGGTGGTAGCTGAGAATGCTCAATGCACAGTGGTTCACTAATCCGGTAAATCTACGGGCTATTTTAACCCGTATTCTGTACCTCACCTAAAATGAGAGTCATGTTTCTGATGATTAGATACCAACTAAACATTTGCCAGTTGAGCAACACCTCTCCATGTCGCGAATGGCAGCGTGGTGGGGAGGAGAGAGACTGTGGGTGAGGAACTGAGGCCTGGATTTGAATTAATTGTGCAAACTCCTTTTGCGCGCCGTGCCAGGTGCGGCTGAGACAATCTCCTGTCTCCCTCCCAACTCTGCCATCCGAGGGGTTCAGAGCCTCTGCGGCTCCCCGTGTTCTTGGCTTTCCTGCTCCCACAGTAACGAGCTGCCCTGGGAGCCCTGCAGCTGTGTGTCCACAATCACTGGCGGCGGCAACACGGCTCCCAACGGAGGCCCTGCTGTATCAGAGGGGTCGATGTGAACACGGCTTGAATGCTAACTTCTAGTTTTGATACAGTACTTTTTGTACAGGGTGACTTTACAGTATGTTTTGACACCACTGAGGACGTATGTGGGTGATATAACTAGGGAAGAAAATACCCACTGCAGTGCAGTAAATTACTTGGTATGGCTTTCCTAGCCATAAGTCTGTGTAAACTCCATGGTGGAATTTGCTGTGAGAAACTGAGTAGCTCCTGACTGTTAAAGCCATCCACCTGGGGTATTTCTGTTGGGAGTAGCACAAAGTAACTTTCTGGGAAGTTCACTCTCTCTCTCAGGTGTATAGAAATCTGATGTGGGGATTGGTTGGTTCAGCCTCAAAAGGAGCCCTCCTAGAGGCAGAAGGAGTCTGACTGCTAGCTGAGAAGGACATGCTGCTGAGAGAAACTCACTCCTGAGAGACACGGGCTGCTGAGAAAGAGACAGCGAGAGACATGCACTGCTGGGAGAGAGACTGAGAGAGACTGTTGGCTGAGAGACGGTGGGCTGGGAGAGAGACTGAGCATTGTTCCTGAACTTGAATTGGAGCCTGGTGTTTCCCTAATAAACCCCATAATCTGTGAGTTCTGTGTGGCCACTGCAGCGAATTATCGAACCCAGCAGAAAGGTGGTGGGTGCTGCGGGAGGAACAGTTGGTGTGAGAGTTGGAAAGGGCTGGAGGGAGGCAGCATGTCTGGCCTCACAGGAATAGGCCTTGGGCTACTGATGGTGATTCTCTCTTTCTCTTGTGTGGTTAGAGGAGGTGGCACCCACCATCTCAGGAACACATAACTGGTGACATCTGTCACTCTGTGTGACAATGGATTTTGTGGAAGGTAGTTGGACATATTCTTTCTGCCCGTCCACTGCTACAGACGACCACCCCAGACCAGCCCTTCTGCAGAAATAACCTGACAGGCGCCTATGAGGGATTAATTCACTCTCCAATTTGTCTTTTTGTAGAGGGAATCACCAATTAGTACAATGATCTGCCTCGGTAATGAGGTTAATATTTCATTAGCTCATTGGAGAGTAAAATTAAATTTTCATTTTTCTTCCTTAACAATTACAGGACTTAACTAAGGAGACTTAAGTGTGAAGCAGCCATCACAAATGAGGCACTCCATTTCTCCTAATTCCAGGCTTATGTGGGAGATGGAGAAATTCCTCCAAAAAGCCTAGTAAAAAGTCATGGCTTTTATACATTTTTTACAATTTAAAAAGGATTAAGTGTGTGGTAAGCCACACACACACACAAACACACACACACACGATGCAGTTATTAACACAGCTCTAGCCTAAAAAGCCCAAATACAAACATTGAGATTAAAAATACACGCATTTACTAAGGAAGGATGATGCACTCAACGTCAGCATTACATTAAAGTTATGCTTTATGGATGAATAACCTAAAAACACTAAGTGCGTGTCCGCTTGAAGGCCTCTGTCGCCCTCAGCCAGGCACTGTCCATGGGAGCCGACTCCTCCGGTGAGTGAACACTGGGGGTGGAGACACTGACCCCCTTTCTGTGGAAGCCCCCGGGTCTGCCCAGTGCCCAGAGGAGGCAGCCCACTGGCAGTGTGAGCAGTCTGCAGGGAGCAGTTGGGACAAGCCCTTCACAGAGGTTCTTGAGGGGCCGTCATGAAAGAGCGGCCGTGAACAACGACACGAGCTGAACCCTGGATGGAAGCTCATAACTGAGGTCTACACCCACACCGCACCCACTGCCCTGAGCCCACCGTGACTCAGCGCCCTGCAGGACAGGGTGGGCACTGCTCCACCGGACACCAAGGCTGTCCATCCTGAGGGAAGCCGACTGCTGCCGGGTAGCTGGGGGGTTTGTTTCAGCTGCTGACTTTTTGGTTAGCAGCCGAATGCTTTAACCACTATGCCTCAAGAGCTCCTTAACTAACTGCTTGAAAATCCCTTTTATGTATCTTCACATGACTTATAGCCCCACCAAGTATCTTGCCTAACTTGGTGGAAATAAGGCTGCCTCATGAGCGATCACGCAGGGGAATCATCTTGCAAATGCGATTTACTAACAGCAGTGGGAAGTTAGGGAGCGCTCCCTATTTCGTTTCCAGTTCTGACAAATCTGATACCTCAACATATTCTTCAAAGGACGGATGGCTCCATATCTCCTTGTCGTCCCGATTACCACGTGACAGCCTGATAAACCCCCAGCGTTGCTACTGTTCAGATGATACAAAACGTCACCCTGACAGACACTTCATTGTGAACGTACTTTTTTTCCAAACAAAGCCGTCACAATGCCACACGCCCAGTGCCTGCTGTCCCTTGTGACCAAGTGGAGGCGGGGTTCTGTGCAGGCTGAGTGGAAGCACGCAGCTGTGGTTGGTGCCTTCTGGCCGGCCAGACCCACTGGACCGCGGCTTCCTGTCGCAAGTCGTCTGACCAGTAGAGTGGGGGACCGAGATAAAAAGCCCATCAAAGCTGATGGTGGGCTCCACCTCCACCCCCCCTCCTGGCATCTGTGCAGCAAGTCAATAGACGGGTGGGTGACTGATCACTTGCAATGCTCCCAAGGGTCCAGCCGGTGTCCAACACCAGGCCACACCAACATTTCTGAAGCCAGTGTCATTCTGCTCTGTTTAAAATTCTGACATTAGTAGGAGACCAAGCGTGTGGAGGCGCTACGGATCCCAGCAAGCAATTACAAAAACCTCACACGTTTTTTAAAAGACCGTTTTTGATCAAAATATTACTAGGTGATAGATCATACTTCAAATGTCTTTTTTCATGTGTAACACAGAGATGATCATGTGTTTTCTACTCATGGACCTTTGGGGATTGAAAATTCATTTATTTCTTTACATAGCTTTGTAAATATTTATGCGTATGGAATAAGATGGACATAGGGCTGAGCATGTGGGCAAGTCAGTTCATATTCTGAATGTAATTTACTAACAGAAGTTGAAGGTTAACTGAATATTCATACATATGTGGGGAGACATACACATATAATCTGCTTGCTCCGACAGATGGGAATAGAATGGGCGTTGCATTCATAAGGAGGGCTGGGCGATCTACTTCCGCAGAGATACGCCTCGGAAGCCCAAGGAGGGGGCGCTAGGAGTCGGATCCGACTCCATGGCAGTGAGTTTTTTTTTTTTAAATCTACAGTAACAGTGCTTCGATTATGAACAAAATATCAATTACAAAAATAAAACATGAACTAAATTTACTTCTGCAACTCTGAAGACCAAGCAGAACCAGTTACCACACTTGGGATAAACCGGAGTTTCTTGGTGTAACTTGAGGTGACATTATCTGCTGCGGTGCATCTCACAGGTGCAGCACTGTCCAAGTGTCCCCGCTGGGCTTCTCACCGGGAGGCAGGAAACCCCGCCCCCTCTCTCACCAGAAGGCAGGAAACTCCGCCCTCTTCTCACCGGGAGGCAGGCAACCCCGCCCCCTTCTCACCAGGAGGTAGGAAACCCCACCCACTTTCTCCCCAGGATGCAGGTAACTCCGCCCCCCCTCTCACCGGGAGGCAGGAAACCCCACTCCCTCTCACCGGGAGGCAGGAAACCCCACCCACTTCCCCCCAAGGACGCAGGAAACCCCGCCCCCTTCTCACCGGGAGACAGGAAACCCCGCCCTCTCTCACACTGGGAGGCAGGAAACCATGCCCCCCCTCTCACTGGAAGGCAGGAAACTCCGCCCCCTTCTCACCGGGAGACAGGAAACCCCGCCACCGATCTCACTAGGAGGCAGGAAACTCCATCCCCTCTCCCACCAGATGGCAGGAAACTCCGCCCCCTCTCTCACCGGGAGGCAGGAAACCCCGCCCACTTTCTCCCCAGGACGCAGGGAACTCCGCAGGCCTTCCCGGCAGGGTGGAGCAGAGTCCTGTTCATGGAGGCAGGGAGGTGACATGGGTGTGCTCTGGGGGTGCCGTTCACCCAAGCCTGTGCCAACAGGCTCCCCGACGCCCTCGTTAGGGAAAACGACGTGGCAACCTTAGGCGTGGGTGACGGTTCGTTTTGCACAGATAGCAGGTCGGGGGGTCCCCGGAAGCTTACCTCGAACTCGGCGTGTTTGTGCACGTCCTCAGCTCTCTGCCTGTTGAGGATGAACTCCGCCTCGTTGGCAACGCGCACTATGTGGTCTTTCATGGCGTGGCACAGGAGCCTAGGAGGAAGAAGACCGCTGACGTTATTCTCCCAGGAGTCATCGGTGCGTCATGTGCCTGTGGCCGTCACACTGTGCTGTGAGAAATACTAGTGATACACAGATCTTAGATGATGATAATCCAAAAACAAGACTCACTGCCATCAAGTCAACTCTGACTCCCAGTAACCCCCGCTGGGTTTCCAAAGCTGTACACCTTTAAGGAAGTAGATTTCCTCATCTTCCCCCCATGGAGTAGCTGGTAGGTCTGAACTCACATTGACCTTCAGGTTAACAGCCAAAGGCCTTAAACATTATGCCCCCAGAGCGCCCAATCAAACCCACTGCTGGGGAGTGGATTCAGATTCACAGCGCCCCTAGAGGACACAACAGAACAGCTCCTGTAGGGTTCCAAGGGGTGGCGTATGGCCTACCAAACCAAACCAAACCACTCACTGCCGTGGAGTTGGATATGACTCAGAGACTTCCTCCTTGGGTTTCCGAGGCAGTATCACTAAGGAAGTAGATTGCCCAACCTTTCTTCCTAGGAGTGGCTGGTGGGTTTGAACCGCAAGCCTTCTGGTTAGCAGTCAAGTGCCTTAGAGATACCACCTCAGAAACCCAAGGAGGGGTTGCTGGGAGTCGAATCAACTCAAGGGCAGTGAAGTTTTTTTTTTTTTTTTGGTTGTCATCTGTGGGTAAGACATTTAGGTACCAACCAGAAGACCACAGGTTCAAACCCACCAGTTGCTTGGCAGGAGACAATCTACTTCCATAAAGATTTATAGCGTTGAAAACCCAATGGGGGTCTCTATGGCTTGGAATCAACTGGATGGCAGGTTCTTTTTTTTAAAACCTGTTTGGAAGCCGACTGCCTCGTCTGTCTCTCGCAGCCCTCTGCTGATCTGTCGGTTAGCAGCCAGCTGCCTCACGCAGGGTGCCAGCAGACGGGACTATAAAATCCCCTTGAACACTAAGATTCTAAATTCTAAGATGGAACTACACTGCAATGAAGTTTAAAAACTGCAACCGTGGGGCAAGACTTTGGTAAAAGTGACGTATTTCAGTCCTCACACTGGTTTTAAAAAGTGTAACGTGATATAAGGTGAAAAGTCTTTCACTATATCAACCTGTGCATTTTCAGAGCGTTTTAAGATACACGTACTGTCAAACCCACGAAAGCCACTAGAACAAATGACAGAAAACGACGGCGCGCTGTCAAGGGCGGAAACTGTGGGGGAGAAACACGGCTGTGCGTGGAGCGCCGGCTCTCGCGGGTCTCCCCGTGTGAGCCACGCAAACCCATGGGCGCCCTGCACTGTCCCCGGACGCAGCACAGGTGCAGGCCGCCTGCAAGGCGCTCTCCTCACGCGGCGACCCGAGAGATAACAACGGTGGTCCTTTCAAGGCACCAGGTGTGCCCTGGCAGTTTCTTTAATGGTCCCCAAAAGGCCACTTCAGTTGTTTGCAATCTTCTCCTCTAGGAACAATGTTGCGGTAGATAAACCAGGCCACACGCGTGTGGACCTGTGTGATACACCTGTCACATAACCCCCAGGGCACGGCGCTGCAGATCCGGTGACTGGCGCGCAACCGAAA